CTGTGTTCTCATCTGCAGGCTGGACTGGGGAAAAAATCTCCTTCCCAGATTACTCTGACTCTTGGCAGGACCATTTCCTTGCAGCTGTATGACTGGAAGCCCAGCTTTTTACTGTCTTCTTCCTGAGGCTGTCCTCAGCTCCTAGAGGGCAACAGCAGTTCCTTGCCAGGTGGGCTTCCCCACCAAGGCCACTTGGCTTCATCAAGCCAGCAAGAAGGGTCTCTTGAGCAAGTTGGCTAGCAAGATGGAGTCTTATATGTTGCATGTAACTACAGAGGTGCCATCTCAACCAGTTTGCCAAATCCTACTGGTTAGCAGCAGGGCACAGGCCCCATCACACTCAAGAGGAGGGGATTTCACCAAAGTATGATCACCAGGAGGCAGGAATTATCATGGGGCCACATTACTGTCTTTTTGCCACAAGGCTTTATTCATCTAATTCACATCCATAGTCATGAAGGGAACTGGAAGAATGGAGCCAGGTACTGCAGGCCACATCCAGCCCCAAAGCTCAGCAACAAATCCCAAGTCCCACACTCCAGCATCCAGTCCCACGCACTCAGCTCAAAAGTCACCAGGGACTATTTGGATGAGCATCCGGTTCTAGTTCTGAAAGTCTAGGTCTATGCATATACTATACTTTGGTGGAAAGTTTTTAAAAGTGTTGGGCACATGTCGTCAGGACCTCCTGAGGTTGTATCACAGGCACATCCTTAACCTTTGCAAAATAAACTTTCTAAATTGATTGAGACCTGTCTCAAATACTTTTGGGTTCATACCTTGTATGTATCCTTTCTCAGGAAACTACTGGAGGATGTTTTCCATCAAAACAAGAAAGGTAAGCAAGAGAAAGACATAGGATCCAGGAAACCCAAGGTCTAATTCAGAAGAGAGAAGAGGATAATTCCCAGAACGAAAGACAGTGGAGGGGGCTCAAGAAAAGAGCTGAGCTCCAGCTGCACAGGGAACTGATCCAGATGGAAGAAAAGAACTCCTGAGAGATCTAAGAAGAGGAAATGGGTAGAATTGCAGAACACAACTTAATGTCTTTGAAAACACCAAGAGCAGACTTAGCCAGAAAGTTTGAGGTGTTAGTGCTAAAAGTGCCTAGAATTGTTCTGCCCAATACCATCGCCACCTGCTACATGTGGCTGTTTGAGTTTAAGTCAAATAAGAAGTCTAAAAATTCAATTCTGCAGACACACTAACCACGTTTTGAATGTTCAATAGCCACATGGGGCTAGTGGCTACTGTACTGGACAGCGCTAGTATAGAACATTTCAACTATTGCAGAAAGCTCTCTCAGACACCACTTGTCTAGAAAAAAATTAAGCCAAGGAAGAAAATAAATGGAGAAAAATATCAACTTCCAGAAAAATAAGCCCTTGTAGAGGAAAAGAAAAATAATCATAATATATAGGGTTCAGCTGTGAATGGCCTTTTGCCAACCATAAAAATGTAAACATTGAGTTCTGAATTACATGTGTAGAACTTTATTGAGGTGCAGGAGGTGAGGCTTGTGGTTTACATGAAAGAGAATTAAAGCCTCATCTTCCTGGATGGGAGCTTAATCAATGATGCCTGTGAATGAAAAATCAGGAAGGAGCAATGTTGACAGTTTGTTAAATGTGTAAAGGAATATAACGAAAGATTCAGCTAAATAAGTCAAAGTGATGTCTCCAGGGAGGGGAAAAAGGAATAGAGGAAACAGGAAGTGCTGATTTAGTAGCGAGTCTTACAAAACTTAAGCTTGATTCTTAAGCTATGTCCATACAGAAGTTAATTAAAATAATGAAATCAAAGAAATGACAACAAAAACTGTTACAATCCCATCTCCCTTATCATGTCTTTTTTGGTCCCCAGGCATGACACTTCTATATTTTCATATTTACAGAAGCATTATCTGAAGTTCCGATACTGGCACCTAAGTGCCCTGCTTTGGTTTGTAGCCAGTTGTACAAGCTTCTAGTCAAATGCCTGTGTACTCATAAATTCTTAGACTAACTATTGTCTGATTTCAGAAGCTTCAAGATATTTGGTATTTCAATTAAATACAGAAGAGTGAAGCCTCCAATATAATGTAAAAAATGATAATGATAGTAAAAATAATAATAGCTAACATTTACTGAATACTTACTATGTGCAAGGCATATAATAAGAACCTACCAATAAATCAGGGTGTCAGTGTACTCTCGTTCCATAGAAGAGGTCATAGATAGGCAGGAAAATAAAGTTGTTCTTTCATCTCTAGAAGGCATCATTCCAGATTAGAATCTGCAGAATTTAGTAAGGAGGTGGCAGTGTTTTTCTCTAGTGTGACTAGGAGAGAAGTGTAAGCTGCTTGCTGATACACTCACCCCTGTGTAACCATGGTAGGAATATAAACAGCTTTCCTGTGAGTCTCTTACTTCTGACATGCTTTGCAAATTATTAGGGCAACCTGCATCGGGCCAATTTAGCAGGGGTTTGGGGGCTTTCTTTTAGGAGGAATTTATCCCAAGATATCTAAGCCAGGGTAATTTCATGTGAACTCACTTTTTCTCCACACTCCCCTCAACTTTTTAGATGCACACTTCACTATGTACGCAGTTTGAGGTTCTGCTCATCTATTTACTGCACTTCTATTTACTCACATAGTGGTTTCACAAGTAATGTATAAAGAGTGTCTTAGTTCATTTGGTCTGCTATAACAGAAATCATATAAGCTGGGTGGCTTATAAACAGAAATATACTTCTCATAGTTCTGGAGGCTGGATGTCTAAGATCAGGGTGCTCGCATGGTTGGGTTCTAGTGAGGACGTTCTTTCAGGTTGTGGCTGGCCATCTTGCCTCTGTAACATGGCAGAGAGAGCACCAGGCAGCTCTCTGGGGTCTCTTTCATAAGTGTACTAATCCCATTTGTGAGGGCTCCACCCTTATGACCCTATCACTTTCCACACATTGGAGGGTAGGATTTCAACTTATAAATTTTAGGGGGACACATTCAGCCCACATAGTAAAGATTTTTCGAGACTAATAATCCCTAAGGATATCAAGATGTGTATACATAGGAACCCTCATTCTCTGTTAGTGAAACATAAAATAGTGTAAGGATTTTGACTGGCAACTTGACAATGTCTATCAATTTTCAAAATGTGCATATATATTCTGCCTCAGTAATTCTACTTCTAGAAATTTACCTTACAGATACATTTCATGTAAGTATACAAAGGTAATGCACAGGGATGCTTACTGTGTGTTTTGTTTTGCATTGTTTTGCTTTATTTTGTAATAGCAAAAAACCTCGAAACAACCTAGCTGTCCATTAATAAAGTAATGATTAAACGATTATACTCTATCCAATCAATAGAATTATTTGTGGAAATTAGAGTAGGATATGTTTATGTGATGTTTCATAAAAGATGTCTATTGCATATTAAGTATATGGATTTATGTCAATATCTATATTGAAAATATCTGAAACTTAAAAATGACTACTTTAAGAAAGTCAATGCTCACTTTTTACTTTATATGATTTTGTACTCTACGTTTTTAAAATATGAGCCTGTATTATTTTTTAATTCAACAACACATTTTAAAGCATGTAATGACTAGTAAGTTACAATTCTAGTTTGCAGCTACCAAGTGAGTGATCTCATATTACATAAATATCCTTTGGTCATAAGACCTGTGAGAACATACAAGATGAACAGGTATAATCAGTTAAGATGATAAAATTAAGTTAGATTTTATTTACTACCATGTGAATCAGGGAGGGGGAAGAGGTACATATATTTGAAATACGAGATTACTTTCTCAAAATCCTCAGACAATCTGCCCGCCTCGGCCTCCTAAAGTGTTTTGATTACAGGCGTGAGCCACCACACCCAGTGAGATTACTTTCTGATGTTTAACTTAAAAAAGAAAAAAGATTACAATATGTTTAGTCTCAAATGCATATCAAGATATAGGTGACTCACAGGGTTTTGTCTCAACACAGGAGCAACCCAGAGAAAAAGCCATTCTCTGCCATGTAAGAGCCTGTGATTTCTGTTGCTATGTGTAAGGACAGACAGACAGACAGACAGAATAAGATTTTAAATTAGAAAAAATCCTTCAGGAGCAAAGAAAGTGCTAGAGAGACATGAGGCAAGTTTTAAGAAAACTGTCAGATAATTTTTATGAAGGAAATGTCTTACATTCGGATTTGCCAAATAGGGCGTTATTTTCTCCTGATAAGTTACTGATTTCCATTTTATCTGCTCTTGCTGTTCAGAAATTGAGCCTGTCCGTGTCCGCATTCACATGTTGCTTCTGGGAGCCAAGAGTCATCTGAGTTAATAGAAAAATCACTAACTAGGTTACATACGACAGAGGTTCTGTATTCCTAGCAGCTTGCCTTCTCTAAGGAGGGAGAAGGTGCTAAACAGGATTTGGGTATACCCTCCTGGTTTAGTAACAGAAAAATGATGGGGTCTAATCTTTCTAATTACACCCTATGGATATCTTATCTAGTGCCATCGTCAAATATTTTCACCTTTAACTTCACTCATCACATTTTTAAAAATTGCTTTTGCCAACTTGATGTTTACTGGGTCTTATTCCTTAGTTTCTTTCACACTAACACCAGTAACTTACCTGTAGCTCACCTGGTGAACCTTACCAGGGTGAGTACATTCACCACCATGACTGGACAAATGACATGAAGAAAACAGTCACGGAAGGGTCAAAGCCTCTCAAAGTCATGCTTATTTTCTACTAAATTCTTTTGCATGATTATGACGTTGAATGGGCTCTCAGTAAATGGGAAATTCAACCTAAAATTGAACTGCATAGGCTGGAAGTTAGGTAAAATTTGATTCCATTTGAATATTTCTAAGCAAGCAATTTGTTACCCTTTATCCTTTAGTGGAATTGATGAACAGGTGGTTTTCAGAAGATCACTTGGTAAATTTAGCTTCTGAAATTTGAGCAACTCAGGATCTGATTGGTCGCTCTTGCCACATGATAATTCGGAGCCCAGGCATCACGCTGGCTTTTGCCTGGGGTTCTCAGGAGGGGAGAGTTGGGAGAGGATTTGCTGCTGAGGAAATTTATTTGGTAGATTGAAGGTAAGGCCAGTTTATGACTTTCTCTGTAATACTCTTTCAGGAGATGTTCCACAACTTCCCTTGAAGTGTTTTTCAAAGGCTTGGGCCATAACTGAGGAAATTAGTGGTAGAAATGTGGCTAGGAGAGTCTAACCCCATTGCCCTACTAAGGCCCTACTAATATCTGCTATGTACAGTGTGCGATTAGAGTCAAGTCCTTTGCTAACCAATTTATTGCTCGACTGAATCGGCTCTCTTGTCTAACGTTTTTTTTTGCCTTCGATATTTTTCCCTAAATATATTAGTATGAAAAAGAAGATACATTGCTCTACGTTCCTATATTTATCCTGTTCTACTGGGCTTCATTTGCCCGAGGAGTGGCAGTTTCGCTAGCTTAACAAAACCAGCCACTGCAGGGTATTGGTTTACATGGCAAACATCTTTGGATGAAGGGACAGCTGTTTCGACTCATCATCCACTTCATATCAAGAGTCTGACTCTCTGGCATCAAACTATAGAGGTCTTGAGAGATCCTTTCACTATTTTCTGCATTAGAAGCTTAGGCTAAGGACTGACAATCCTATATGTACTTCAGTCAATGCTTTACAACTTTGTTATTTTTCAGGTTTAAACGAGAGCTACAGAAACTAAAGAAAAAGTCTGTATAAGCCGATGGTGTTCGGGAAGAAAATAACTCCATTGCCTTGAGGTTTCTTTTTTTCTTTTAAAATTTGTTGACAGATGTACTCTTATGGGTTCCAGTTTGAAGCCTAAGATATACAGCAAACAGTGGATCAGGGCAATATAGAAAACTAAGTCAGCCCTCTTAGAATTTTGGTGCTGGGGAAAAATTTCAGCTTCTTCTGAAACCCAAGCTGGCCTTCTTTCACTAAATTTTTTGCTGGAAAATGTCTTTTCTCTAAGTGTTTGGAAGTTTAAATTCTCTGTTCCCTGAGTCCAAACTCTCTCACTTCCTTACCTCAATTTCCTTTTACAATTTTAACTAAACTGATTATGTAGAAGTAGCAATTCCCAACACTGAAGGAATAAAGAGAAAGAAATTTGAAGCTTCTGCTGTTTATACTTGTATTTTAAATGTCTTCTCTCCTTTAGCCTGCAACAATATGTGAATTTGTACAATAGTTTAGCTTCAAATTCTATTTTTATGATGTCATAAGATAATTTATGTGCTGGGAATAGACTCTAACATGTTTTCATTTGTGTGGAATATGAAAAGTTTGTAGGTGCCACTACTACTCTGGAAAAATGGCAGATGACGAAGAATATGAGGAGGTGGTGGAGGTAAGATTAAAAAAAAAAAAACACTGACAGCAAACTATTTTATGTAGTGACAGTCAAAGCCATGCAGGTGAATTAATCATTTGAAAAATACATTGTCTATTATAACTTCACAAAGAGTCCTCATTTAAAGCATAAGAAGGGAATATTTTATGTTCAGTTTCACTGTAATTACGTGGGATTTAGAATTGAAAGGAAATATCACTGTTTCCCACTTTTGCTTTTCTTTAAGCTCTCAAAAACCAAGTTGAAGTAAAGGCAGGTTTGAATTCGTCTTTGAAAACTACTTTCTTCCCCAGTTCCCAACCCCGATGTTCAAAGGGACAGAGATAAAGAGAAAGTTCTGAAAATGGAACTCTGTCTCTTAGTGTCTGCGTAGCAATAGAGGAAAAGATCTACTCCTTATTCTTTGCTTCAACTAGCTAATCATCTATAGGGAAACATGGTTTAGATATTCAGAATAATCATATGTATGAAATTATATGCATATGTGAGACTTATACATAATACATACACATGTGCACAGACACACACATACACGCAAATATAAATAAAGGTATGAAGCTCACAGTGATAGTTGGAGCCATACCTTCCCACCAACTTCATTGTACTTACCTAAGTGAACAAGACTAGCTTTTGCTTTTGAATTTTGAATAAGAACAAAGACTATAGTGGGTATCTTGAAAATTTTCCTTTCAATTATTGGTGGACATCTAACACATTTTACAAAGCTGTTAATCATTTATTTTATGTCCTTTTGTTTTTATCATCTTACAGTTTTTCCTCACCGCCTCTTGCCTTTAGCTTCACATTCTAGAAATAAAACCTAAAGGCTTGGAACTATAATGCACATAAATACAGTGCCATGAATCTGAATGTGCTTAGTAATTACCAATTGATGATGATCTAAACACATGAAAATCTCCAAATGGCTAAGGCACTTGGAGGCAGTTTTGAAAATCTGTGCTTTTTAATAAGACTGAAATTAACTGTAAGAGCTACCTAGAACCAAATTTTAGGTGGCAGTACCAAAATTAGTCTTTGGAAAATTATTTTAGTGACCAGTCTATATTTAGATGAAGAAAATTTTATTCTACAAATAAAATTACTTTTATTACTGAAGGATATGAGGGAAAAAATAGAATGAATCTCATACAATGTAACATTCAACCTCTCTGGCTTAAATGCTGATGACCACATCTTTCATGCTGATATCATCACTAGTGTGCATTTTACTTATGTACCTAAGGGTCAGAAATATCATTATCAAACACTAATATAATTATTAATTAAATTGTCTTCCCTATTATAATAATGCCAGTAACAGTTTTTATTCTCCAACTTAAATATTCCTTGTCTTTCTTAAAATAATTGTGTACCTTTGCTACTGGAAATTGTCCTTAGTGCTAGACTTGATTGATTCAACTAGATGTCATAAAAAAGGAGGGGGCTATTTTTAGACATCTCATCCCTACTATTTTGTTCCCATTACAGCTTCTGGGTCTAACCAGCAGGTGATAAATGAATAGACTGCCCGCCAGAAAGTATTGAACTGAGATCTCTTTGACCTAAAAAAGATTATGAGCATAGGAGGGTGGAGAATTCTAAAAAATGGCCAGGGAAGATTTTAGAAAACAGAGAGGAACTAGCTTTAAAAATATGCAGAAAACAGAGAAGAACTGGCTTTAAAAATATATCTCCTTGGGATCTTGGACATTGAAATAAAGTTTTACTGTTCTCTCTACTCCAACTTAAACTTGGAAAGAAAGAGAAAGAAGCAAGGATGTACTATCTAATTAGTGGCACAGCTCTAAAAAAAGAGCGAGATTTGGCATACAAGTTAACGCCAACTATTTAAATAATGTTGCCTCTTTTATAAGCGTATTTCTAAGATGGATTTACCAATGGTGAGAGCCCAGCAAAGGTAAAATTGAATGGTTTCCAAGGAGCTGCTTTTAAACTTGGATGCTGAGAAAATCCAAAATAGTTGTGAATCTTCCATTTTATTTTAGTATTTCTTCTGAAGCCACTGATGTTTTGTGTGACCGGAGGAGTGACTCTATGTGGCATCAGCATCAAACAATATTTTCTAGAGTGTCCAAATGATATTTCTCATGTGCTGAAAGTCACAACTGTAAAAAAGCAAATCTCTGTCCTGTCAGTGCTTGTGATTTTTGTTGCTATGTGTAACGACATACAGGCAGAATTAGATTTTAAATTAAAACAATAGCTCAAGAGTAAAGAAAGCACAAGAATGAGGAACATTAGGCGAGTTTTAGGCGGCCTATTGACAATGGTTAAGTAATCTGATGACACTTCACTGAACCAAGAATGCAGGCCATTGAGGGAAATTTTGCATCTTAATGTTTTCTCTTCCCTTGAGTGCTGTATGTTTTGGTGTCAAAGATAAGAAAAATGAAGCATAAAGTGTTATATATCCATTTTTTTTTTAAACTAAGAAATGAGCCAAGTGTTTCATCTTTATTCCTTTCCTCACGTGCTTGGCCTAAACAAGCCTCTCCTTCTGTTCACCCTACAGAGCAGGGTGAAGCTAAGGACAGGATTCCTCTCTCCTTACACATCTGAAACCAAATGTCAACCAGTTCCTTTCTGCATCTATTTATTGCTGGTGATGTCAGAAGTAGAACAAAAGTAGACTCAGTTTTCGATCCAGGCTGCAGATCCGTCATGAAGGCCATGATGACCTCAGAGCCACTATGGCAAATTGCAGCCTACCTTTCCCACACTTTGTGATGAGGAATCTTCTCGTTTTCCCCTTCATTCCCTAGCATTTACCAATTTTCATATTAGCACCACTCTGTTTAGGACAATCACACTATTGAAAGGGACTCACGCGTCACTCCAGAAGAAACTTATTACTTACCAATCAGGAGGATATAGGAATAATTGAGATGTGGATATACTTTGGGATCTTATTATTTCCATGATGCAATCCATTTAAAAATGTATTCACACTCGAGTTTCCGTTTTAGTTTACTGTTAGTTTGCAAACAGTGAGTTTTATCACAGTTCCTCTCTGCCCAACCCACACACTCAGAATCTTCTTACTGTATTCTCTTCTCAGCAAATTCTATCTTGGCGACCATAAAAACAAATTTCCATGTCCCAGTAAAGTAAAATAGCTTCTCTTGATTAAAAAACAGCCTCATACACTTTTCTCAGCCCTCTGCATCTCTTTGTCCATTTGGATGGCATTCACTTTAGCTTTCCTGAAGTATTACAAAGTGAAGATGGGTTCCAAACTATGAACAGGCTCCTTCACCTACCCCTTTCCCACAGACATTCCAAATCGACCGAGCGAGTGCAGTCACCTAAGTGGTTCAGCTGAGGTGCAGGAGAGGTGGTTTCTGGTTTGGTTCTCTTGCCAATGCCTTTGTGCTCTATTTACAGTACTACACGGAAGAGGTGGTTTATGAAGAGGTGCCGGGAGAGGTAAGGCCCAGCCCACAGCTGCATAAACTGCATTCTCATTAAAGCAGGAAGAGCTTTCTCCTTTCTCATACTCCCAGGGCCACAAAGACGGCAAAAGGGATTATCTGACAGAGGATCACTCACCTACCTGTGCCCGGAAGCTGGTGTGAAAGCACAAACATTACCTGTTTGATGGATTATTTCACCTTTTTTTCCTATTCAACAAGCCCGAGATGGCAGGGGGTGGTTCTCCCTGTTGCTCCTGTGGGATATTTTTGTGTAGGTGATGCTAATTATAATAATGTCAGTGGCTATCACCATTCTCCAACAGCGGCAGGAGGGATGGCCTTGGCTTTGTGATTGGCATAGGGACAAGCAGTTTTATTGTGTAGAGTTGTAACTTGTAGGTCACCATCTCTGCCACCAGGGATGGTGCCTCCAAGGCTTCGTCCCTGATGATGCATTGAAATGCTACTCAGATTTTAGCACATTAGGAATTCTAAATAAGCTATTACCATAATTATTTCAAGTTCAAGCTCTTTTTTTTTTTTTTCAAGGTGAAATACCTTTCTCACGCTTTAGTTTCTGCATGCAGCTGTTTCTCTTTGAGCATGACAAACAGTGATATGGATGGTTAATCCTGAAGCTTGTTCAGAGAACCTGTGACTGCATAAAAACTAACGTCTGTAGATGCTGTAATTTGGTTAGTTTCTCACAGTCAACCATGCCTTAGTAATCATGGACAGAAAACAACCTATCAGCAATGATGTGGCAACACTAGAGGGGGTTTTTATAAATGTATAATTTCCTTACTAGGTTCTTTTCATAATTGATGCTAGAATTCTTTGGTACAGATGATATTAGCTCTGAAGGGAAGGATACTGTGAAATGGATTGAAGATTGGCTGCTTACCTTTTTTTCTTACACGCATTATTTTTAACCTTGGACTAGACCCAAACTTGGGGTCTTAGTATCTTCCACTATAGCCTGCTGTAAGAAATAGTAATTTCTCACCTACTGCATAGATAGGACTGTTGTGAGGATAATTAGCCCATTGTGTTGTCATCACTATTCTTGTCCACCTAAGCATTTATTAGTGTAAATGGCACTCCAGTTCACATTAATTAACTGACTAAGCCAAGGGAATGAAAATCTCTTATAATATTGATGCGATTCATTTTTTTTTTAAAGTTCATTATTCTTTGTCTCCTATCTACAGTGGAGAATGCCTAAATCCCTATGGAACAAACGGCCAATTTTCCCTTAGTCACTTACAAGTTAATATCAAAGTCGATAATTTGAGCTTTGTTTGATTATCTTAACCTTTTGTTCCCCAACCTCAAGTTTGCTTTTACTTACTCAGACAACTTAAGATTTTTAACTGTTTAAAAAAAAAAAAAAAGTTTATTGCTGATTTTTCCCCCTACTTTGAAGTATTTGATTGTCTTTCTGCAAATGCAAACTTAAGGCAATATTGCAAAGTAATAAGGAGTAAACTTTTTATTCTACACAATCCCGACAATCAGCATGCAGATTTGTGTAACAGAATGTGCCTTCATATGGCTATAGTATGCCGTTTCCTGCTTTGGCTTACTTTAGATATGGAGAGGTAACACCAGGCATGTAAATCTGATTTGGAGTTAAAATAATACATACTGAGATCACAGTAGCACAGTTTTTACTTTCACAACAATGTTGAATATCAAATTTTCAGACAATAACAGAAATTTATGAGACTACAACGACAAGGACGTCTGACTATGAGCAATCGGAAACTTCCAAACCAGCTCTGGCACAGCCAGCACTGGCACAGCCGGCACCAGCAAAGCCGGTGGAGAGGAGGAAGGTCATCCGGAAGAAAGTGGATCCTTCAAAGTTCATGACCCCCTACATTGCACACAGTCAGAAAATGCAGGATCTTTTTAGCCCAGTAAGTTTCAAACAATTTCTGTTAACCTCGTTTGATTATTAAGAAAATTACTGATCTCAGCCCACTCTGTTTTGGAGGCTGGCTGGATTTTATTTCTCAAACTTGTATGAAACAAAAACTTATTTTGCAAAATATAGGCTCTTGTGACTGTTGAATTTTCCATTTATGTCGTTCATTTATACCATTGCGGCATAAGAAAGCATTCTTATTGAAATCATTCCTGCAAAATAAGCATAAGGCCAATCATAAAGCATTTATTGGTATTTAATCAGTATTAATTAGCCAATCTAGAATAATGAAATCATAAATACAGATTTAATTTAGGCCAGTTCATGGAAGCTACATAACATATTTAAACAATGTCAGCAGAAGAGCTTCTTAGTAGACTAGCTAACAGCATATAAAAAGGTATATATAAAGAGGTATAAAGTGAAGAAGAACATTTATGTTAAAAATCCAAGATCAGGCCGGGCGCGGTGGCTCACGCCTGTAATCCCTGCACTTTGGGAGGCCGAGGTGGGCTGATCACGAGGTCAGGAGATCGAGACCGTCCTGGCTAACACGGTGAAACCCCGTCTCTACTAAAATACAAAAAATTAGCCGGGCGCGGTGGCGGGCGCCTGTA